AACAGGCTGCCCAGGGAAGTGGTGGAGTCCCCATCCCTGGAGGTATTTAAAAGACGTGTAGATGAGGCGCTTAGGGACATGGTTTAGTGGGCATGGTGGTGTTGGGTTGACGGTTGGACTCAATGATCTCAGAGGTCTTTTCCAACCTTAATGATTCTATGATTCTTCTGGCAGGAAGCATTAACTGGTAAGATCTGCAGATGCTTCTGACCTATACCCAGATTATCAAGAGCAATTCAAGTGTTAACAGTAAGCCACCTCTCACCAATATTATTTTCAACATTTTAAGTTGAAGCACGACAGTATCATGGGTTTGGCAAGCTTACTAATTAGAAGTTCAGGACAGGCTTAAAAAAAGTAATCTTAGACTTACTGCATCCACAGTACAAAACAGCCCACATCTGTCCATGCTAAAGTATGTTATCAAATGTGCATTCGTTAAGCCTGGTGGACTTTGTGCCATTTCCAAATCAATTTGTAGCACACAAAAACACACCCAAGAAAGGAAAACAAAACTGCGCACTTAATAGTTTAGCAGCTGGGTTTAAGAGTGGAACTGAACCACTTACTTTTGAACAACCTGCATTTTTACATGCCGTCCCAATCTTGATTTCATCGCTGTCTTCCTCTGTAAACAGAATCGTATTATAGAAAATAGCAACTGAATTGTACAATGTACTAAATATTTTGCTTTTATTGAGAATTAAAACGAGCTAAGGAGTAGATTAGGAAAAAGAAACTCTCAAGCTGTCTATTTTCTGCCTGGCACTTACATCTGCCAGAAAGGTACAAAGAAACAGAAGTTATGCAAACATTCCAAAAGCTGTATTACCTATGCATCAGATTCTAGGTTCTACAACTTTACATGGTTTTAAGTGGGGCAAAAAAAAATGATGAAGAGGATTATTACAATCATAGGGGAAGAGAACAATCACTCATCTTGTTTGGTTTTGTAAAAGTAAGAATGTAAAAGGCTCCAACTGCTGTCTATAAATACACCCAAGGAAAGAATTTGGATACCAAATAGAAAGAAGAGCTAAATGACAGTTTTGACACAAGAATAAGAGTATAAAATAGCCACAAACGTAGGTTGAAATTAGAAAGTATTTCTTAAGGAGCAGTGTAGTTCTGGAACCAAATTCCAAATAAACTGTGGGAAGAAAAAAAAAAAAAAAAGAGGAAAAACAGACGAGGGAGAGCCAACTAGACTTCAGAGGAATTTAATCAGTTTATGAAAGGCTTGATATGACATCATGTTTGCAATAACATAGGAGTAGAGTTCATTGCTTGGGAAACTCTTGAAGTCATACATTCAGAAATGGATGTTCCCATCATGTCCATTCTAACCAGAAAATCTCACAAAATAGGCAGTTCAACTAATTTTAACGGGAACATACTGCTCCTAACAACCAAGTCTCCACATTGTTCACATTTCAATTTTGATTATCATTCCCTAGACTGGAAGGTATTTCCCAGACTATTAAGAACAAGAACATAATTACATGAAATAATTACTTCAGAAACAACAACAGAATAGCATTTCATTTATTTGTGTGACAATTAGCATATATACCTACTTAACCTCCTTACCTTTTTTCTCTTCATTTTCTGATGACAGTTTCAGTTTATCTAGTGCTTGCTTCAAGGAAGCTGACACTTTCAGCTGCAAATTTGTCATTGGCTCATCTGGGCTAAAAAAATGTCCATGTATTCATGTCAGCTTCACGAAAAGTAATTTAAAAAAGACAACAAAATAGTAACTTTTAATCTTGCTATAAGGCTCTTCCTTTCTAACCTCCCTTACAACAACAAGCAAACAAACTAGATTTGTAAATGCCAATTCTTACTGTTTATGGAAAAACAGACTAGAAATTTAGAAGGCAGTCTTGGACTTCCAACAGGAAATCCTAAATACAACAACAAAAATAAATCAGAGAGATTAAGGAATCTAAATACAAGCACCCTAAAATTATTTTTTATGACTGTAAAACACTAAACACAACTGCTAGTGGTGTTCTAAGCTACGAGGCTTTAGACTGCAATTTTTGTTTCCTGTGAAGCTAAATGCTGAGAGATCCAGTACTTCTGGATCAGAAGTATCTTCTCCCAACCAGAATTCTTTTATCTCATTTTGAAGCTTAAGATAACATCATCACTGCTACCAAACCCAAGCTCTTCTGAAGTTAAATTGGGAATTTTTACACTGTATGAGATGTGTAACACTGAATAACCAAACGAGCTTTAACTTGGCCAACTGACCACAAATCTGGCAAAACTTAGTTTCGCATACTATACCTTGGCCTTTTAATTGTTTCCAATGGTTTTGGTGCCTGAATTATGTGTTCTTGAAATTTGGGTTTCAGTTCAGCTAGCTCCTTTCGTTCAGAGGTAGTTTTGACTTCTGGTTTAACAGGTTCAGGAGGTTTCTCACTGTTATGGAGACCCTTTGTACAGCCCTATTATGGAAAGCATATGTTTATATATATGCAGTGTAGTTTCTGTGCACAATTAAAAATTATCAAAAACTGCAACAAGTTTTCTCGATTTATTTCTTCAGCCCCATCTTCTCCTTTAAACCCACTCTAAACATTGGCTGCAAAGGAAATCTTACAACTAAAGTGGGAAGTATCTTCATTTGGACATACGTTAAAGAAAAATGCGTACTTTGCGTAATCAAGCAAAGTAACAAAAAATATTGACCTTCCTTCATTAACAAGTGTCTAAATACGTTTTGATAGAACTAATTATAACCGTTAAAGCTTGAAAATGAGACTCGACTTCAACATTGTATCAAGAAAAATAGTGCATGCAAGATTAAGACAGTTTTAACAGAAGTACGCAAATTTTAAACATGTGAGCACATGTACCATTTAATATTTACCACTGTCATTTGACAAGCATAAAAATTGTAAATAATCATGAGTACATACCACAATGCTTAAGAAGTCAGAAAAGTCTGTTGTTCTTCTCTTACAACATGACCAACCCTATAAACATTTTGGAATAAAAACAAAACAAGCATGACTACTTTACTTGGCAACAGCTTATAAAAAGCAAACGACTAATTATATTCCTTTATAAGATGTGGCACATCATGATTAGAGATTATTTTCTTCCCTTCTTTGGACAATATTGTCATCACGTGCATTTTTAAAAGCTATAGAAACCTGCTACAGCTGCCATTTAAGTTCACTCATGCTGTCTTAATCAGATAGTTTGGTGAACATGAGGCAGTATTTCCATGACAAGTTAGGTGCCAACTCTGTAGGACAGAAAACAGAAATGTTACTTTGCATCATAAAGTAACACGTAAGCAAAACAAACAAATACTATACCTGAGACTAGGTTCACCTGTGACATAACATACAGGCCCCTTTCCTAAAATGATGAGGATTTTTTCTTTCCTTGAGCACTAGTCAAGTCTTTCAGCTGCTTATTTCCCACCACAAAGCTGGAGATCTGCCTTGCATAGCCATCTATCCAACTATATCAATAAGAGCACTTTTTATTATATAAACCAGAAATCCAATTTTAGAGAAAATTATCTTGCCACTGTGAATAACGTATCTTACAACTTGAAGAACCCTATTAAAGGCAACAGTTTGACTAAAATGCACCACTGCTTTGAGAGCTTAAGCAGTGTGGCACAATGGGTTTTAGGTAAGTGGTTCTAAAATATCCTCAAAATATTAACTTTTTCCACAGTCAAGGAGACAAAAGGTTCACCCTGCCCACTTAGACTATCTAGAATTCATAACAGGAAGAAAACTGCCCATACAAAATTATGATAAATTTTTAATTAAGCCAAGAGATAGGATAAGGAGAGGAGGGAAAGTAGTACTTGTTTTAAAAACGTTGTGTATGTAAGAGAAAGAGGGAGTAAACACAATCTTTTGAGGTAACTGTATAATTTCTGTCTTTATAACTAGGTAGAAGTTTTAGATGCTGTGTTATGAATACAACTATAATTTTGTACAAAACAAATTGCCATAGTCGAAGTAACTGTATCGTATTTGATCTAACAGCATCCGTCCTAATTTGCAAGTAGCACACTGTGGCCGATTCCGGAGTCACGTACTGCAACATGAGCAATAGCTCACACAAAACACGCTACCCAGCACATACGCACAAGCTTCCATGAGCCTAAAAGACACCACGTTATGGGACAGGGATGAGACGCACTGCCAGTAGGAGCAGTTCCTAAATACCAAGAAAAAATGCTTGCCCCAAAGCTCGGTTAAATAGCAGTTTGGTGTCCTAAGAAAGGTCACTTCAGCTACATCTGTATTAATACAGTAAACAGTGCCAGGCTCCATTCCTGGAGACCACATTTCTGGCCATACACTATTAAATTGTTAGAATGATTTCCAGTACTATTTTGGCAGTTTTGTCTCGGGTAATTCCCTGTAGGCACTTCGGATGCATCCAGTAGATCCTGAAGTAGGAAAACAGTTTAACATAATGAATATGGGCTATGCAGTGGGCTTAAGCACTGGACACCAGCCACAGGTATATTTAATTCACTATTGAAGATGTAGCACAAGAATCCTGCACAGCTGCATCAGAGGCATGAGCAACCAGTCCCAACTTAATCAACATACTAATTTGTCAGATTAACAGAACACAATTATTTTTTATAGTAGGCAAATGTCACATACGTATTAGTTCACTAGCCACATAAGACCACAAGCAGCTGGTTTGAATTCCAAGCAGGTTGATTAACTGAAAGAGTATGACACCTCTCAATGTCTCCAAAGGCCTATTCAGAGAACCGAATTAAACTGTTGAGACACCTAAAGTCAATCAATAGGAAACATGTCATACAGACTTGCGTGGCATTTAGACCATATGAGTACAGTTTTTAACTTCTTCTTCAGGTTTGAGTAAGTGTGCTTTTCTAATTTCATGGGGTTGCTCAAACATGATAGGCTGGGCATCAGTTTCTACAACTGACAGATTTGGGATGAAAAAGGAAAACAAGCATACTGTTTTACATATATGGAAAAAAAGATAAGTCTTAAGAAACTAGTTGCATACTTACTTTGAGAGCATCATGAAAGACTGGCACACCTGGATGATATGTGCATGAATCTAGAAGAAAATGACTATTATTAATATTCAGGCATACCAAGAATCCTTATTCATCTGATCACAAACCCAGCAAAAATTTCACACTTGCAATTCACGTATGCTATGAGCTGTCCCACTTCCCCAAGTGCATGTAATTATGAAGGAAAATACAGACTCCACAGAACAAGCTTTTTGAGTGCATATATTAAACCAAAATAATCCAGATATTTTCTTCTTTATTATACAACACAAACCAGAAAGCAGGCATCTAAGACAAACTTCTACTCCATATGCAGCAAGTAAATTTTCTATGGACCATCCCTTGCCTTCATCAATAATTCACCCCTATGACCACTGACAGCCATGAAATATTTGTTTACAGCATCAAATACATCTATTTGCACCCGATCAAGGCTTTCTACCTAGAAGCACTCTGTTAAAAAATTCTCTTAACACAAAACTTGAGTTCTTTATTTTATCCATGATAATTAGCTTGTTCTTTTTTCACTATGGTATCCTAGGTCACTTAAGGACTTGAACCCAAAGGCCAGTCTTCCACATACACAATTCAGACATGTCAATACTATTAATAATTAACAGGTTCTGTACAAACACTACACTGAAACATGACTTCCATTAACTGAACTGTTTATATTTACAGATGTTTATCAACACTACAGCTTTTTATGTAGCAACAGTTCCTTTTTTACTTAACAGATTTGTTTTTTCCAAGTGTAATATAATTGCTCTGATTATATAACTTCTCTTTGACATATACTGCATGGATAATATTTTAATGACCTGACTAAAAGCAATGGGAAACACTAGCTCTCTTTCAGCCTTTAAAGCAAAAATTTTGTTGTTTTGTTTATGTTAGAAACAGCTAAAATTAAAAGTGACACAAACAGTAACAATTTTTATAATAAGTCTCCGTAAAACAGAAGAGTGAAAAATATCACAATTCACATAATAAGAGGCAAAAGAGAAAAGTGATAAATAACTTCATTAGTAATCTACCTACGGATATTAAATGGGCTTGAAGACAAATAACTTTGTTGTTTTCATTTTTTATAAATATGTAGATTTTTAAGAAATCTTCCTTAGTATCATTTTCTTTAGTTTTATATTCAGTGCCTAAGTCTAAGGCACTAATATAGTCTGACAGACATGTTGCTTTGAGATAACAGTTCCCACTTTAACTCAAAAGGCACATATTTTGGGACATTAGTCCTTCAGCTGGACTTACATACATATCCATGAACTTCTATCAATTCCTTCAGTTTCAGGATGAAAAACATATGCTTTTGTAAATGTAAACCTCACAGGAAAATAAAAAAGAAAATTTGTATAAAGAGCCCAGGACTTCACTGCTAAATCAAATAAGAGTAAAAATTTAGGTTATTCTTTTCCAAAAGTACGAAAGTATGTCATCGTAAGCATCATGGTAGTAAAACTAAGCTCTGTTTGCAGCAAAGATTATTTCTGAATCGGAAGACGTAAATTAATATTTCTAATCCCTCACAAGCATGTGTGTTTAAATGAGGGAGGTGCTGTTAGTCAGTGCAACATTTTTAGAGACCAAAACCATCTCACGATCAATTAACTCAAGGACAGCTATCCTCCAGCTTGCAAGTCAGACACAGACAAGCATCTATTTGTCCATCTGGCCAAGTCCTATCTTTTTTCCTTGCTTCCTGAAGCCCTCTCTGCAGAAAGTACATCATGGAGCAAATGACAGCCCACACTCTGTGGCTCTCTCATGAGGGCCATTCATGTTCCACAAGAGAAAATGCTGAGACAAGGAGTTGTGCAGTACCTGAAAAAGAGGCAGTGGGACTTGTCCACTGAGCAGTCTGACCATTCTGCGTACCAGAGGACAGTAAAATGTCCCTCATTTTCACTCATACTGAGCCCAACAACTCTTACCTGATTAAAGTTTACATCCATAAAACATCCCATCTCAGACTAGGTGGGGAAAAATGGCAATTTAGTACACATTAAGAATCACCTGAGCAGTTAGAAGCATGTCTATTTCTGATTTGTCAGAGTTCACTTCCAGCCTTTGGTTGCTATTCTACATTTTTCACTGCAAAAAAATCAAGTCACTCTCCACTGCTTTTAATACCTACCTTTCCTTAACCAGGACAAAGAAAGTTTTTCAAAACAAAGCATTTTCTCTCACCCTCAGATCATTTTTGGTGATGCAAGCACCACAAATTTTCAGGTTGTTTGGTGGGTTCTTTTTTTTAATGCTGATTTCATACCCAAACCAATCCCACTCTCACAATGCACACACTGCTGTCTGCTGTTAACTTACTGCTGCATCCTTGCTTATTCATTGAAACACTTTATTAGTCTTTTAGTTAGATGTGAAAGCAGAAAATGGTACGGGTCATCCAAACTTCGAGGTATTTACAATGGGATTGTGTTGAATTCTTGAGGACATGAGACATCTGTCTGTATACAACTTGCAAAGTGACCTGCTATCTTGTGGAAACACTCCAATACTTTGCAAGCTATGCTTTACAGCCCCAAAGCAATGGAAGGTCATTAAACCTGACAGACCTCATTCAACACCTTGGGGAAGTTCATGCCTTCAAGTGGTTGCTGAAGCTAGGAAGCTAATTCTACTGGACTTCTTCTCACAGTGTTGGAAAAAAACATAGAAAACAGGACAAACATGGCATGGCAAGCTTATAAGTAGTTCACAGAGAAAGGCTCAGCCTGAGAAACAGAAAGCTGTGGGGAAGACAGAAGATCAGAAGGTGCACTTCATGGGAACAGAGCTTGAACTGTGGGGACCAGACAAGGTTAAAGAAAGCTGACTTTGGGCACGCAGACTCAAAATAATCTAGGCTACCGTTTCTTGCAACTCCATCTCACTCACTCCACCTCAGAAATATATAAAATAAGTTTTCATCAGGTCTGTGATCATGTTTATCCTGCAGGTGCAACATCACTAAGTTTGATCTAAGGAAAAAGTGTATAAACAAGCACGAAAAAGTACGTGCTTCTGCTCTGGCAACGGACCAAATTAAACCGCATTAAGATTCAAATTATAGCCTAAACCAAAAAATCTCACAGTACAATGAAGAAATTGAGACAAACACATAAAACATATATACTGTCCCTCTGTTTGTGCACACCACCTTTACAACTGTCATTAAGCAGCACTGCTTTCAAACCTAAACCAAAGTGAGCATGTACTACCTCATACCACTGTTTTAGCAGCAAAATTTGGCCTGGCCTTGAAATGGGTTAGAAATGGTCATATAGCCATTCACAGGTAAAAAAAAAAAATTAAAAACCTACTACCACTTTTGAAGTTAAGTTCTACTTTCTATGCCAGATGCTGTACAAGTCTCAACAGTATGGATTAACTAGTACTTAACATATCTAAAATGCATGTGAAATCTGTACCTTGCCAGGCATGCCATGGATGAATTCATAACTGTGCACTCAGTCACAACTGTAGACATACCTTTAATGCCTTCCCTCAGGCTGTTTTTTCTGCCTCTTTTTAAGAGGCATACAGTCCTTCATGTCAGCCAGTTGTCACTTGCTCATAGTTTGGAAACAATTAGAGTTTCTACAGAAAATACATGCATATATTATTTCAGCCATCTGGTTCTAAAGAGAAGATTAATGGCCTCTTACATCAATCATCACTATGGAAATATCTATATTGCAGGCTGAACGTAGAAAAAAACCTGAAAGATCCAATGCTGCTTGAGGCCAGCAGGCCTTATTTTCTACCTATTTTAATTTTTAAAAATTCCTATTAATATATTGATCCTAAGCTTAACTATTAGATTATGTCAATGCAAAACTTCATTATTAAAGGGATAAGTATTTTGGTGTTTGTATAACACATGTAATAGCCTTAATCCCCACAATATTTTAGAATTAAATCCCCACACAGTTCTGAAACACAAGCAAACATTTGAACTTGACAGCTATAGACAGATAAATATGGATTTAGATGCCTAAGTAGTAATCACCCCATTGACCTTGGTGAACTTTAGGGATGCCAAAAGTTATCATCACTCTACTTCCGCAGATAATGTCAAACTTGGTTTTCTGAAGTGGTCCGTGAATAACTAAGTTTACCTTTAGAACTGCTTGGAGCCTAGGACACAGTAATTCCAGCAAATGTTCCAGTCATTTACCGAAACAAACTTCATCTCAAGAAGCTGGTTTCCCCAATCCAAGCACCACACAGTTAGCACAGGGCCATGCCAACCAGATCGGGTCTACTACAACTTTGATCGTAGACGTAGGAACGCATAGTAAAGAACTTTTGTTATTTTAATAGTGAGAACAGGTCACAAAGACCCAATGAGAATTTTTAATATAAAAAGCCCTATCTGCTTTATCTTTTGGGGCAAAGGGGGTGGGGTAGGTGGAGAGATCACTAAATGGAAGCCTTCCACAACTGTGCCTGCTTTTTCTGTTACTAACATTAGCAAGTCTTACTCAAAATGCTGCCCCTCTCTCTGGAAATACTTAGCTGAGAAAAATAAACACACTTTATGCTGTGGTTCTTAATCACAGAATATGCACATGCTAGAACATGTTAGCCTACTTCTAATCTTGTGGGTCACTAAAAATGAAGCTAACACAAAGAGGCGATTCTAGAAATTCAGCCAACAGAGTTACTTTACAAACCAGTTGAGGGCAAGCCTGCTGAGAACTCACATCACCCTTCTGCAGCCCCTGTGGAACTATAAAACCTAAAATTACAGCGCTTTAAAGATGTTTCACCAAGTACCGGATTCCCAGTATACATCGAGGAAGCACTACATGAGTTCACAGGACTTGGCAAAGCAGACATACATGTATCATAAGACACATTTAATTACCTGCTGCAAATCCACATACTATAATTAAAAAAACCCAGTAGTTGATAAGACAACTTCTATGTATGCAACACCCACAGAGGCCCTCAAAAGAAAAACGTCTGTTGCTCAAGGCCTCCAGCTTCCACCTTTAGAATATATCACGGTAACGTACAGAACTGCTTCTTATCGCCTCTCTTCCCTCATACTGCTGTGAACAGTTTTATTATCATAGAAGAACCTTGAGCCAGGCTCACCGCCAGCCCCGCACCTCCGCTCTGAAGGGACAGCTTCCAGCCAGGGCAGGTTTCCCTCCCCAGCTGCCGCGAAGCCCGCAACCGAGCAACCTGCGGCAGCGTTTCACCACGCCGGACCACCCCTCCACCCCTAAAGCGACAGAAAGCACCACATGAAAACACGAGTTTCCCCGGGGAGAACCGAGCCGGGACCAGCACCGTGCAGTAACAGACGGGCGAAGGCGAGAGGAACGGACGCACACCCCCGCCGGCCCGGGCTTTCCCTGCCCCTCAGTGCTGACCGTCCCCAGCCGCCCGTGTGACAGCTCCGCACCGCGACGTGGCTCCAGCAACCGGGGAGGACGTAGAACGTGGTGGGCACCCTGGGCACCTCAGGTCGCCCCTCAGGCCCTCCCTGCAGACCCCTCGTAACCCTCCACCTCCCCCAAACCGAAAGCTGGGGGGGG